TTTTATTAGAGTGAGCCTGCATCCTTGTACATCTACATTTATAATCAGTTATAAATAGTGACCCATTTCAATTGACAGTTTTGGTAAAGTAAGCCACAGTAGACGAATACCACTACCAAGAACAACTATAAGAGCTGAGTCTGAGGGGGAAATTCTAATAAGAACAAACAGAGTATATGAGTCAGCTTTCCATTACTGTAACAAATGCCTGAGATACTCACATTATGAATAGCCCAGGTTTATTTCGGCTCACAGTTTTGAGTTTTAGTGCACGATCAGTTGGTCAGTGGCAGCAGAGCACTCATGGTGGGGATAACATGTTGGCAGAGGAAAACCACTCATCTGATGACCAGGAAATAGAGACGAAGAGGAAGAGGTAGGGATCTCACTATCCACTTCAAGGTCAAGCCCCTAGAACCTGAAGACCTCCCACTAGCCCTAACTCTTAAGTTCCCACCACTTCCCAGTAGCACCAACAGGGTACCAAGCCTTTAAAACATGGGCCTTTAGGGACACCCAAGAACCAAATCATAACAGAGAGCTTCTGAACACATCCCGACCAGAAGCGTCACAATGTCAGATAGATTAAGTATCAAAGAGGTAAGCTGACTTTTAAGGGTGTTTTCCTTCCCCTAGGGGTAAAGAGTAAAGGTAATTGCCAATCTGGAAACACAGCAAGATCTTGAGAATATGGGCTTTGCTTTAGCAGAGGACTACTGCTATGAAATAAAGATTTCAGCACAGATTTTTTTTTTTTTTTTTTTGCAGTTTTATGGGGCAGATGCGGGGGGTGGGGTGCAGGGGTATCTCGAGAGATACCATGATTATGATATGAAGGGCCAAGATCCCCTCAACAAAAAATAAAAAATTTCAGCTGACACCTGCCTGATCTTACCTACATGACATCTGCTGAAATGTGAAGTTGCACATATAACTGGAGGCTAAGACATAAAGAAGGAAATTTCTAAAAAGAATAGCAAGATTCTCAGATGTCTTGTCCTGGCTGTGTTCAGAACCTGTGAATGCTACAGTGGGAGGCCCTGGATACCTGTGCCTGGCAGCTCAGTGCCCCAGAAGGGAACAAAGTCTAACAACACTGACTTGGCCACCCCTGCCCATTGTATATACCATGCAGAGAAAATATCAACACCTCTTTGGAAATGTATAAATTATCTAGAAACTCTACAATTTTATACACAATGACTAATATCAAGAGTAAAGAGAGACATTGAGAAGAGGCTCGAACAATTTGGTTACGGGCAAAAGCAGACAAATAAAATAATTTTAATTAAAATTAATATAAAATTAATATATTCAAAGTAACAGAAGACAAAATAGAGAAAATAGCTAAATTGGAATCTATAAAAAAAGAGTTGAGTGCATGTATGAAAACTGAAATAAAGGTAATAATTGGAGTGGTAGCCCATAGATGGACTTGAAAGCATAACAGACATAGCAGAGATGAAAATTAGTAAATTGAAGGAAAAGGGGTCAAAAGGAAATGTCTAAACAATAGCAGAGAGAAAAAAAGAGTGAAAATAATGAAACAAATGTAAGAGGCCTTCTAGGTACAGTGAAATCATCTGCTGAACATGAACTGAGAACTCAGAAATGGAAAAGACACAGAACAAAAGAGTTATATATGCAGATATGATACAAGAATTCACCAGTATAGCTAAGGTTTTTAAATTTTACCTGATGAAATATATTAATCCACATATTCAAGTTTGAATTTAAGGAGGATAAATTCAAAGAAACCATGTCTTGGAACATCATAGTACAATTGAAGAAAAATAAAAACAAAAGAAAAATCTTAAAATCAACCAGAGACAAAGACCTTTGACAATAATAATAAGACTGACAGGTTTGGTAGAAGTTAAAAGTCAAAAGAATAACAAGCTAAATTGTTGATCTACCAAACACAAATTGTATATATAGTTTAAATATTCTTGAATGCCACAAATTAAAAGTACCAGGTGTTTAAAATAGAAATCAGAAACTAGATTCACCTCTTTACATTTACTTCTTTGACTTCAACTAATCAGAAATTTTAAAGTTACTAAGTCACTAAGACATCATATTTGTCAGATAGTTTCCCTCTATTTTCCAAATCACTTTTGTACATTAACTCATTTGCTATGTACTACCTCCTCCCTCAGTGAAAAAGCAAGACAAATATATTATCATCTTTATTTTATGTAAATGAAAGTAATGTTCAAAGAGATTTTTTTCCTCTAAGAGATGACAAAGTCAAAACTGAAATGCATATTTCCCACCTAGTGTTCATCATTTGGAGACTACAAAGTAGGAAATTAATTAAAAACAACATAGAAGGGCCCATTAAGTTGCAAAAATGTATCCAATACATAACAAAAGGACAATGGTTGCTTCTGAAGATTTTTGCTTAAAATTCCTTTAATTTTTATCTTTATCCTCTAAGTAAGATAGCACCACATTCCTCAATAATTTCCTGTAACTATTGACTTTCATTTTTAATCTGTAATTTCAAAAGAAGTTAAGATGCTAAAACCTTTCAGCTTTACTGATGGGTTTCCCTACCAAAGGCCTACCCCAAAGTTAAACCATCATGTTTTGTGATCCATAAGCATCTTTAAGCTTGAAAAAGCCATAAGACCTCTTTATAGAAAGGTTATAAGACAACATTTGATGGAGTTCAAAGTACAATTTTGCCACAAGGAAGGTGAAACAAATTTCATATCATAGAGTTTCTATGAGTATCTTTAAATCAACCAACTGGAACATTGAAAGCAAGATGCCATCAAATAGGATGAACTTGTTCCTCATACATAATCTTATGTTAGACGAAACACCAACATAATGCTCTTTCCATGACCTTGGAACATCACTCTCACCCCCTATGGGCAAGAAGCGGTGGCTTTGTTTTTGTCTTATAATACAACTTCTTTCTCTTCTTCCTCATTTTTCTTAGCTGAGTCTTTGTGTAACAGAATAGCTAAGGTTCGTTTTTTGTAAAATACATGAAAAAACATTAGAAGAATAATCTCAGTTCAATACATTATTTTCACCCATGTGTTTTTTAAAATAATATTGCACTTGCTATCAAATATATCAAATCATATCAATGTAGAAGATGCTTACATTTTGTGATGACTTTCCTTACATGTGTTAATGAATATATAGTAAAACATCAAAGCATTTTGATCTTAGACAAAATAGTTTGAAATAAAATTGAAGATTTTTAAATAAAAATGTATCTTTTTAATTTAATGTGCATTTTTATTTACCATGTAAAATGGGCAAAACATCTTATTTTTAAAGGTTCATGCCAAAAGCCATGAACTAAATGCCACAATATCTCCTGCCTATCATGGCTGGTTGACAGTTTGATAAAAAGTATATATATATATTTTATGGTAACATACATTTTTATGTCAGGGACACCCCATCACATAAGCACATCAGCAGATCATACATTCTCTGAGCAGGTTTTTTAAAGAGCTTTTACTATTACACTATCTGAGAAAAGCAGTCCATGTGAGCAACAGGTTCTCTGAGAACCTTAACATAAAGCTCTGTATGCTTTACTATAAAGAGACGAATATGAAAAAGTTAGAAAGTTAAAAAAACTTTTGAAGAAACACATGGAGGCTTTTTTGTGACAAGAAATCAAGAAACAAACAATGAAATAAACACATCTCTGAATCACTGGAGAAAATGTTGCTGCTAGCCCCCAGAAATCCTGGATAAAGACAAGCTCTCCTTGGTCATATTACAGACCTGTCAACATAATCAAACACTTAATTATGCACTTCCCAGGAGAGAGAACCATTTAAAAGCTAACATAAGCCTTTCCAAAATCAAAAATAATGTAGCACTCTCTGATGCCCTTCTTAGTTCCACTATTCATATTTAGTAAAACTTCCCTCTACTCTTCACCCAGATCCTTCTTTACTTCCACTACATTTATTAGTCAAATACTTTATCATGTCTGCTCTGAAAGGACCTTAAACTTCATCAGAAGAGCAATTGCTGATCAAGACAATGTACTATAATCCTCTTAGAAAATCCTTATTAGTATCACCTGTCTTTAAAGACAAAGAAGGAATCTAAATAAAAGCAGTAAGCTTTTAAAATTTAAAAAAAAAAACACACCCTTTGAATTATAACTGCCATTGTCACTTTCTTATATTCTATTACTATGTTACGCACAGGAATACCAAACTGGTATACCAAGAATCTCCTTAATGTGCAGGGATTGTTTATTTATTTATTATACATTAATTTTTATACACACACATAATAGCTTTTAAACTGGTAAATATTTTAGATTTCAGTGGATTAAAACTCACCTCCCTCCCCTCCAAAAAAGCAAATAAACCCCAAAGTGGCAAATTTTCAATTGTTTCCGTCTTTTTTCCACAGAGCAGTTTTTTTTTGGGGGGGGGTAGGGGGGACATTAAGCACAATGTTAACTGACATTAAGCATAATGCTCCAGTAAATATCGCCACTTCCTTGTTATGCAAAATCTGTGCTTTTTCCCAAACAGAAGATATTCATCAATATAACGGGTACCAGCGGACGCGGGCTTTGCTACATTGACAGTTATACTATAAGTAGGAGACGCAACTCTCAACTAAGGTACCTGAGCAGGTTCCTAGTCCCTTTAAACTGGCTGTGCTCTAAATAGAAAAGATACTGATCTCCAACATGTTTAGCAAGCAAACCTTTTCTGGACCTACTGAGTAACAAAAGAAATTGCCAAGAAAATGTGGGGCTAACTACATATTGAACGTTGCGACTCCGTCCACCTGCTACAAATAATCCCCAAGATAAACGTTTCAGTGCCAGAAAGAAAGACAGGGAGGGGAAAAAAAGATCGCTGGTAAGTATCCCTAAGTTTGCTCTTTTCCTTTCACCACTTGGGGATAGAACTTGGGCGTCTCTCTGACTCAACTGGCCACTTCACTCCCGGGAGCTCCAGAAGCTAGCTCTACACCTAGAAAACTGCGACACTCACCCGTGAGCGCAGGACCCTTTGGCGTCTTAAATCTCCAGCTCTCAATCCCGCCTGCCTCCGGAACACAATGACATCCCTCGCCCAGTGGGGTGGGTGCAGGGAACCAGGATTGGACCCTACAGTTGCAGTGAGCCTGACTCAGGTTTGAGCGCATCAGCGATAAACCCAAGACAAAGACTGCCCTCAGTCTTCCGTGGTGCGCGCCCTCCCTGGGTAACCAGTGCTGGCTCCCTCAAGCCCACACTGGGAGTGCGTGAGCCTGTGGAGTGACAGTCATCGACTCAGCGCTTTCGGAGGGGTGCGGCTGAATGACTAGTACCACGCGGGTGTAAACAGCGCGCTGTGCACTCGGGATCCACAGAAGCAGCGTGAGCGCACGGCGGGCACTGGGGTCCAATAGAGGTAACTACCTCAGGCAACCAGCTGGAGCAGCCTCCACTCACCAGAGCGGCGCCTCCCAGGCGAGCTCTCGCCAGCGGGTTGGGTCCCAACAAGCCGCACAAACCCCAGCCAGGAGCATAAGCTCTGACACAGTTCCTCTGAGCAAAGGCACCTGCTGCCTGCGCTCCGGGCTAGTGCTGTGCCAAGTCCCGAGCTTGGGATCAGAGATAACCTCCCAGGACAGAAAGCGGAAGAGAATGCGAACTCACAGCGAGGCTGATTGAATGATCTTTGCAATCACTCACCGGCGGAGGGTGAAGTGGCTCAGGCGGCCACCAGGCTGCGCGCGGCCGGCATCCCGGGGAACCGGCATCCTCCCATCCTTTGTCAGTAGCTGGTGGAGCGCTCCTCCCCAGCTAGTGGACGTGCACCGGTGGCAGGCAGCCCGGATCTGGCTCCGCTCCCCAGCCCTCGTCCCTCCTCTGCTCCCCCTCCCCTTCTCAGTCCCCCTCTCGGAGCCGGCACTCACTCGGCTCCCATGATGTCATCCGGTGGAAATCTGCCATGCTCAAAAACTGGAATAATCCAGCGCTCACGCGGGGAACGCAGAGCGGGCGGAGGCGGCAGCAGAGCCTCTAGGAGTTCCCAGAACCTGGCACCGCCAGGATGACTGGAGTCAAGAACAGAACAGAACCCAAGAAACTGAGGATATGTGTGTCTGAGGATGAGTGTGGTCTGAGTGGGTGTGATGGAGATGGGGCCAGGGACCAAGAAGGAAATCAAGAAAGATTTCTAAGTCAGTGTTTAGATTGAAGGCAAGAGTAAGGAGAAAGTTTTTTTGGCTTCTCAGGAGCCACGTCACGATGGTGAACACCTGTGCTGCAGCCAGAATGACTGGAACCTCCCAGGCCCAGGCTTGGCGGAAAAGTTCAGTTATGGAAAGCAACATAAGATGTGATACCAATTCTTTTGGTTAAATTTTTTTTATAATAGTCATAGAAATTTTACTAGAGGGATAAATAGGAGCAGCCTCAATACTTTTGAAGATTCTCCAGTGTTGATAAAAACACATACACATACACATACAGAAACAGATCCATCCCTTCCATCAGTCTAGAACTGCTTGGTCAAAAACTCTCTGTTCAGAGACCAGACTTCAACAATCTGAGGTTTGTGTTCTAATCCATCAATGCTTCAAGGAACTCCTTTATTTCTCTGGGATTAGGTACCATAAATGGCCTCTGAACGAAACTAAGATGTTAGAGGTCAGCACAGCAGTTAGTGTTTATTGCAGAAGCTTAGCTGAGTGTCTAGGTGAGAACATGAGGACTGGACCACTGGGATCATCCACCGTTATCCTATAGAGGTACACAGACTAGGAATGGAATGTATTACAAATGCAGGTACAATTTTTCTAAAGAAACTCTAATTTTTGTAAATACAAAGAGAAGAACTCAAGATAGTAGTAATAGTGGCAGGATACTACTAGTAGTAGTTGTTATTGTTGTAGTAATGGCAATGACAATTTGAAGGCCAGTATCTGCACTAAGTAGGCTTGTTAATGCATTAAGTTTGTGAAATTAAGTGAGACAATTCTGAGAAAAGGGTAATAAATTACTTTTGAAAAGCAGAACAAGAAAAAATTTTTTAAAAAGCAGAACCAGAAAGTATTTTTAAAAATAAAAATATAAAAGGGCTTTAAGGCTGTGATGCCTGTAGATTGGAAATAATGTAGAAAATACAATGTAGGAAAAATGTAGAAGTGGTAACTTGTATTTAGTTATTTTCAAATTATAACACTTTAGGTATTATTAGCATTTATAACATATTACTTATATGCATTGTAAATATGTATATACATTTAACATCTTTGCCAAGTTCCTTACCTTTTATTATAGTTTTAAAAAGAGTTTTTAAAGAATAGCTACTTATTCTTTCCACCAAAGTACAAAAGAACATTTCAAATGCATGAACAACTTTGAGAAACAAGTATTTTTAAATACCAAAATAATGAAGATTTTTTTTAAAAAAATCAAAGCAAATGGGAAATATAGTAGATAAAAACACTGTGAGAGGTAAGAGTTTGGGAATGTAAGTAACCGCAGGCTTTGAGATAGGAAAATGATCCAATTGCTTGAAAAAAAGTAATTAGAACTGCTAATGATGCTGTTCTAAGAATATAAGAAGGTCAGGCTATAAACCTTTCCTCCTAGATTGGTTCTTTGATGCCCTATCTGTCTTCATTGCCTCCGTTTATCTTGCTGTTCTTTAGCATTCTCTGGACTTATGGAGATAAGGAGGTCACAGGTAGTTAGCAGATCCGGGGAATGTACTACCATAAAGATCAGAAAATGCATCCCTCTGCCTCCCCCCCCCACCCAATCCACTGCTGTAAAGGAGGAAAGCAACACCTGTATTTTTTACTTCTTTAAGGAACATAAAATGCATTCATGAAATAATGTATTTGGTCCTATGGAAAAGTCTTCAGGTATGTGATTCTGTCCTTCTCTGAAAATTAAAAATACCATGCTGTGCCTATCATCATGACCCTTGATCTTAGTAAACTTTCACAAGCATCTCTGTCCCAGTGTGTGTTTATCTGCCAAAATCTTTGTGTATGCCAATGATATTTCCTATTTCTAATGCACACTTTTATGTTTTGTTGTCATTTTAAAATCTTACTATTAAATATTTTAAGATATTTTTACCCAAATGGATGGCTATAAACAACCAAAATAAAACATCCAATTGTTGTATTAGAAAATGTAAAAATATCATAATTCTTAGAAAAAATTTATATCCAAAATCATATCTTACAAACATAGCTTACATTCTAATCTTGTTTAAATGATGAATATATTAAACCTTGGAATTGAAGATTTAGAGGAGATATATTAACTCTGCTTCAATTATTGATGCTCTGTTACACTGTTTTCATGCTGATACATGATTCTCTTCACAAAAGCAACCAATGTTTTGGTAGGAAAATATAAACACATTTTACTATTTTTGCTTATGGATTTCATCAAATATAATCTTTTAATACTGTTTTATTTAAATCAATAGCCTCATTTATAGCTAATGACTTTTAAAAACAATTTTTCCTAGATATGGATTTATTAACTATTGATAAATCATAAATAAAAGCAGAATAAATATTATTAAGCCCTTATGATGTGCTGAATATTGTCCTAAGTGCTAATATGGCATTAGTCAATTTGATCTTCAAATTATCCAATGCTGGGTGTCTTATTAACCTCTCCTGAAGACCTAGAAATTGTCCAGGCAACTAAAATGTAGCAAATCAGATGTCAAACTTTTTTCTACCAGTCTAAACACATAAATTCTGCCCTCATAACAGCATACTTTCAAATTTAAATAATTTTCCTCTAAAAACGGAAGCATAGTGATACATACACAAATGCATGGTATATATTATGTTTATATTCTATTTGGTGAGGTGACTACATATGCTTTTGTGAACCCTTTCATCAGCTACTAAATTCAGCACTAATTTCATTCTTATTATCCCTGCTAATGAAATACTTCCAAATTTGTTTCTGAAGAAAAAAAATTTGCGGCTACTAAATCAACTCTTAAATCTAGCCTCAGACCATTTCAGACAAAGAACATGATACAGGAATTTCATACTTAGAAACATTATTTTAAAATAAAACAAAGAAAATCATTTTAAATAAAGACAAAGACTACCTCAACACCTATCTTCTCTGTACGGATAATCCACTGGTGGGTCTCTGAAGGTAAATTCTACCATCCAAATGAAGTCTGTCTTCCCTACATAAATATTAACAAGGAAGATAGATCATTTTACATGTGCTATCTCTGAGGACCTATATATATTTTTATCATAGGAAGTAATATTCCCTGGGTACAGATGTATAACCAAGCTTATTTAGACAGAAAGATTTAGTACAGATTTTTCTCAAAATCTTCTTTTATCTTATCTTTTTAAAAAATAATTGGTTAATGTTCACCAACTGTTAAAAGGGATATTTGAATAGATCCAGAGAAAGGTTAAAAGGCACATATAACATGGTCATTCTTTTAAGGAGTGTTGTTAATCTATTTTTTGTATTAATTAACTCATTCATTAAAGAAACAATTTAAATAAATAATGGGAATCCTTCTATTTGTAAGACATGTCAACAAGTATAAATTTATTTATTGCATCTCTATACTCTAAATGTCAATGTTACTTTGAATTCCACTCCAGAAATTCTTCTGTCATTAAATATCCATTAATGGGGAAGGGGGACCTGAAGGTTACTTTGAGCTCATTTCCCCACTGCTCTGTCAGTCGTGCTGGTCATTGGCACTAATATGACATAGAAGTGGTCACTTATGAATTACTTATGAATTGCTTTTGTTTAAAGGTAGAAGAAAGGATGAAGAATGGTTCTCTTTAAAAAGAGGAATTCATACTTCAGACCAGACACATTGGTTGTAAAAAGGAAAACGAAGCTCTAAATATATCAATGGCCAGCTACAGGATGTATTTAAACAGTTTTCCCCTAAAATAAAAGTACTTGAAAAATAGAGATGCTGATTTATTTTAGCATGTGTCAATCCCTCTGTCCTCGGGTTGAGATTTTTCTTAATCATCAGGCTCACTTCGTTTAACTGCAATAGTAGTATCAATGGTCTGCCTTAAATATTTCCACCTGGATCTTATAGTCACGTATATTTCCTCAAATTGCTTTAATTACCTTGGTTGACTCAACTGATAAGCATAGAGTTAGGATAACAGAATCAAATACTTATAACCGGAAGATAATTTTCTGATTGGGGGATGGGAGTTCATGATTCTTAATGTTTGTGTAGCCTTCTTTCCCACAGCTATAACTTCTAAACTATCATAAGGGAAAACCCTAAAAATTTATTTGCTAAGGAAAGCCCCTAATAGACATTCCTGATTTTCCAAGTCAACTCTAATTCCTAAAGTGTACTGGGAGTCACAGAAGAACTCAGAATGCTACAACCTTGCTTCTGGATCTAATTCTCCTAACAATGTCGTTTATGACTTAAGTAATTCATTTAACCTAGTCACCTTGCCTTTCTCATTGGGAAGGGAAGTTAATGATATTTGCCTTATATGTCCCTCACTTCAGAGGATTTTATGAGAAAAGAAAGTGGAGTGGAAATGTGATAATAAAGAAGGCATAAGAGTTCTAACAGATCTAAATAGGATCTCCCGAGCTAAGTCCTGTACAGTAATAGTGGGCATCCAATT